CTTGTTTGTATGCGAGGGAGGAGGGCGAGGAGGACGGATGACTGGGAAGGGTGGAGGTGGTAGACGGACGGAGGAGGAGGCTGAGGGAGGATGAGGAGGGAGGAGGGGAGTGGCCTTGCGCTCACCCCTACGCCGCGCGATGCGGTGTTGGGACCTCGCTTGAGAGGCCCAGGCAATGGCCACAGATCCAGCGCAGTCCTGCGCCCGTATATGTTCATACACTCATGCACGTATCTAAAAAATACCCCAGTGCGACCCTACCTAGAAGTTGGAGCCCCTAGGAAAGCAGCATTAGTTGCTATGCTATGCTATGCTATGCTATACAATGCTATCCTGCGCTATGCTATGCTATGATATGCTATGCTATGCTGCGCTATGATATGATGTGCTATGCTATGAAATGCTGTGCTATGCTAAGCTATGCTATGGCATGCTGCGCTGTGCTATGGTAAGCTATGCTATGCTATGCTATGCTATGCTATGCTATGCTATGCTGAGCTGCGCTATGATATGCTATGATATGCTATGCTGTGCTATGCTACGCTATGCTATGCTATGATATGCTATGCTATGCTATGCCATGATTGACTATGTTATGCTACGCTATGCTAATGCAGCGCTGCGCTATGCTAAGGTAAGCTAAGCTAAGCTAAGCTTGGCTAACCCTCTAGGCAGAGCCTAGGTAGGGAATTACACCCATGCTAATTATGCTATGCTGTGCTGTGCTCTGTTATGCTAAAACTCAGCGAAGCTAAGATGAAGGTCAGCTAAGCTACGATAAACCTGAGCTAAGATGAAGCGAAGCTACGCTAAGATGAAATAAGCTAAGCTAAGATGAGATAAGCAACGCTAAGCTAAGGGGACGTAACTGGGGGAACCGCGGGGCGGATACTCGGGGAACCGCCCGGGGCGGGTTCCACTGCCCGGCCCTTTAAGCACACCGAGTAAGAACCCTTCTAGGCAGAGCCTAGGTAGGGAATGCATATGTATACATGTATACATGTGTTTGCATCGTTGAACGTGCATCTCTAAGTAAACATATACACACATATAAACACACATATATAAACATGCGTAGATATCTGTGTATATATAAGTGTATGTATATACACCTGTATACACCTACATATGTAGAGAGAGAGAGAGAGAGATGCTCGCCCCTTGGCGTGGGACTGGTCGGGGGCCAAGGGGCGAGCTGTCCGGTGTTCGTGTGCCCCATGGGCCCCTCGAGGTGTCCGGGGGCACCGAGGCCTCCGCCAGCACAGCGAGGCCGCGGAGCGAGTCCATGCTGGCCGACCTCGAGGTCGAGCCACCCGTCCGGGCGCTGCGGGTGGTGCGCTCCGAGTCCGGCGATCGGCACGACCGAAGCCCAGAGACTCAGAGGAGGAAAAGGTACCCATCCCGCTGCCCTCGCCCCGCTTTCGCCTTCCTGTGCCGCCTCGGAGGCCCTCGCCGCCACCGTTGGGTCCGCTTCGGCATTCTGGTCAGAGCGCGGCCCAGGAGAGGTCTGGGGAGTAGCAGTGTCGGTACCTTTTGGTTTCCCAAGACATGCTCGCGTCGCGAAAGAATCACGACGGAAGGTGTTTTGCTATTTTCGGCCCCCAGGGGCCCTCGCTGGGCCCCAGGACCGTCAAGAAACGACTCGGGATGAAAAGCCGGCCTTGGAGAAAGAGTCTGGACTTCCGAGGCCCCCGTATTGAAACATCAAGTCATCGCATGTCTGGGAATGGGTTACGGAAAGAACGGGGACGAAGACCGGCAGTAGTTTTGCCACTTTGAACAGGGCTGTCTGTCGGTGCCGCCGCGGGCGTTGCCCATTTGAGACGCAAGCTTGCCTGCCCAACAACGGCCGTTGCAGGTTTTGTGACAATACTTGTTGCTGGACAGCGTGCCAGTCCTTTCCGTACCCCTTTCGGGCGACCAGAGGCGAGGCGTTCGCTCTCAAGTACGAGACCCGCGAGAACCGCATCCTGGGCACTGGCATGTCTGGGGGTGTGTGCGTGGCCGTCAATCGTTCTTCTGGTTGTGAGGTGGCTGCCGATGGCGGCCACGGCGATGATGAGGTCGATGATGACATGTTGGTGACGACGTTGTGGTGCTGGTAGTTCCGTCGCTGGTACTGTTGTTGATGCTGATGTCGTTGATGCCGTTGATTTTATTGATGACGGTGTTGACGTGGGCGCTGGCGTGTTGCTTACTTGGAGGAGATTGCTGTTGATGCTGTTGCCAGCGGTATCGGTAATTGTTCTCTTGGTCGGTGGTGCTGACGATGACGATGCTGACTTCGCAAGGTGGCCGTCAAAACGCTCTCCACTGCTGGCTTGTCCAAAGGTGAGCACAGCACAACCCACCCCAACCCCCAGCATGGACCCCTACTTCCGACCTGGTGATCCAGGGGGTCCTGGCTGGAGGTGAGGGTGGTCTTTGCACCAGAACCACGCCCGCCCCAAGCCAGGCCCCCCTGGATCACCAGGTCGGGAGTAGGGGTCCAGGCTGGGCGTGGGTGTGGGTTGTGCTGTCCTCGAAAGGGACGTGCAAGCAAACGCTCGCGGAGGTGCAGAACCAGCTGGCCATGGACCACCCCAACATCTGCCGGCTCCTGGAGGTGTTCGAGGAGCCGGGGCGGCTGCGTCTGGTGATGGAGAGGATGAAGGGCCCAGACCTGTACGAGCACTGGTCCAGCAGGGGCCACTACTGCGAGAAGGATGGTCAGTATCGTTTCACCGATCCCTATCCCCATGCCGATCCCCACCATTCCACCGCCCCAGTTGGGTATATGCCCTCCGAAACCCGGAGGAAGCAGTCTGGGTCCCCATTTGGGGGGGTAAATCGGCCAGTGGGGCCCAGGCCACGCCGGTAGGGATAGGGATCGGTTGAACGATGTTCAGATGGGCGGCTGGAAGCAGCCCCTGGCCGAGCCCTGTTTTTGCGTACCCGCCCCCGGCGAAAACAGGTCTTGTCGGGAGCCAGGGGATGTTATCCAGCCGCTCAGAGGACGCCGCCAATTGCGTCCGGCAGATCTGCAGCGCGGTGTGCTATTGCCACCGACACGGCGTCTGCCACAGGGATCTGAAACTCGAGAACTTCTGTCTTGAGGACTTCAAGAAAAGTAGGCACAGACACAAACAATCGCCGATTTCCATCAAATTTACAGGAGATGGAAGGGAAGACGACCATCCAGAACAGATTCAAACATCTGGGAAGTGCTGGGATCCGTGCCTATTCCTCTGAGTGTCCCTGGACCCCCCAGGACTCCTCGGACGAGGCCCGGGTGAAGATGATAGATTTCGGACTGTCCGAAGCGTTCACGTCACGCCACATGTCCAACGCCGTGGGCACCCTGTACTACATCGCCCCAGAAGTGATGCGCGGCAGGTACACGGAGAAGTGCGATGCCCTGCGCTCCGCGGCAGCACGTCCCTCCTTAATTCTGGCCCCCCGTCCCCGCTCTCGGACGGGGCCGCGCCTCCACGGAGCCGCGGGCCGCGGCGCGGGCGGCCTCGGCCGCCTCCGCGAGGCTCAGGGCGTCCTCCGCCTCGCGCCCGCCGCCCTGCAGGGCGGCCTCGGCCAGGCCCTCGCTCTTCGGGGCCTCTGAAGGGGCCCTGGGACACACAAATAAATAGATACAAATAACAAGATTCCCAATATTTTCATATATTTTCGGGGTTTTGGTCTTCCCCCCCACTTCCCATATTTTTCAAGATTTCCGGGGGAATCGACGATGAATTGTGTCTGTGTGCTTTTTTCCCTCCTGAGCCTCGCCCTCCGCGCTGGCGCTGGCGGCCTTCGCCTCGCTCACCTGAGGCGCCAGAGCCCTCCCGGGCAGGGCTGGGCCCAATCGTCGTCTTTCGGTTTGGTTTCGTCTCGTTTCCGATGTTGCAAATACGACGAAGCGCACACCGAGCCAGGCACGAGCCGGCCTGTCTTGGGATTAAGTCGGGCCTGTCCCTCTACAGGAGGAATAATCAAAAATAGTAAAAAGGAAAAATCGTGTGGGGACTACTTTTTGAATATTTTTCGACCATTTTGGAGTATGTGTTGGGTTTTTTGTTTTGTCGAAAATCCCCCTGTAGGGGGACACGCCCGACTAAGTCTTAGGATCCTGTGAGGGTCTCGGGTGCCCTTTCATATTTTCTGCGGCTCTCTTCGGGCTGCTGTGGGCTCAGTCGGCCAAAGAAACGGCAGAGCCGTTTTTTTCACCGTTTTCGGAGAAGCGTCTCTTGAAAATGGAAGCGGTAAAAAAACGGCGACCGGAAACGGCAAAAAGGCGACTCGGGGATTCATATTGGAACGGGAACCAGCAAAACATCGGCGACGAAACCAGCAACAAAAACGGCAGAACGGGACCAGTAAACAAAAAGGCTTTGTCGTTACCAGGGCCCGCTAAGATTGGTTCGGTCCCTCCCACATCTCCAGAGTGCTCTTGAGGCGCGTTGATCCTAATTACCCATCTTGTTGGCTGTTGGGTTTTTCCAGCTGCTTTCGTTGGCCCTCTGGTGGCCTTATGGAGTCCAACCTGGACCCACATACTTATCTGAAGCCGTCTTGGGCTGTGGGAGTCGTCGCGAGTCGTCCTAAGGTGTCTTGGTGGCCGCTTGGGCTCGTACTGGGCCGTCTTGGATCCGTCTTGCAGATGCCTGGGCCCATGCCAGGGCCCTCTAGGACCTTGAGTCGTCCGGAAGCCGTTCACGGCCCGTTTGGTACCGTCTTCGGACCGTTTCCAGGGCCTGCAAGGCTCATTTGGATCCGACTGGTAAGCTTGTCGTATTCAGATCGTCCGTCGCCCGTGCGTGGGCGATCTTGGGACTCTTCACGGTCTATTGTGCGGCCATCGGGGGCCCGCTTGGGGCATATGAGGAACGCGCCGGCTTCTCGTGCAGTCGGACATTTGGGGCTGCATCTCAGGAGGCTGTCGGACAGACGTCCAGCAAATTCTGCAGCCTGCAGCAGGACTTTCAGCTGGTCGTGTTTGAGCACCCATGGGGAACGAGCGTCACCAGGGGCAGGGCTTTCCTGCACAACAGAATAAGAGCATGGCGCAGGGAGTGGATCTCAAACGCCCAGTGGCCTCCATGTTGGCTTGGCCTGCGGACATGTGGTCCTTGGGCGTGATGACTTACATTCTGCTGGACGGGAGGCCCCCTTTCCAGGGCCCCAACGACCGCGCCACCTGCAAGCGCATCCGCACAGGGCTCTATTCCTTCCCAGCGGAGCGCTGGCATCGCATCTCCAACGCGGCCCGCGATTTTGTGCGGGCGCTGCTGGAGATAGACCCCAACAGGCGGCTGAGCGCGGAAGAGGCTCTGGACCACGAGTGGCTGAAGGTTGATTGGGCCTTGGATTCGGACGAGGCTCCGCATCACCCAAACATGCTTGTAAGATGTGTGCGCCTGCACCCCAGGGGCGACATGCGCGCTGGGAAATCTTATAGCGTGTGATCGGTGGCGGGCGCTTTCTGGCCATACTGCTCGGGTAACGATATAAATATAGTATCAAGTGTTTGTATTTCATGTTCGGTTCGGACGTGCGCCTCCAAGGGGGTCACTAGCACTGGTGTGTCCTGCTGCGTCCCAGAGGCCGCTCCGCCTCTCGACGCCGAAGTGCTCGAAGGTATGCGCGCCTTCGCGCGCAGCAACTGCCTGAAGCGTGCCGTGCTGAGCGCGGTGGCGCCGGTGGCCACGGTGGAGAAGGTCTCCCACTGGGCGGACCAGTTCGAGGCCCTCGACGTGCGCAAGGAGGGCACGGTCAGCGTCAAGGACTCGGGGGCAACGATAGGGGGGGAGCGGCTCAGGGGGGGACGCATCGACCCCCCCCTCCTCCTCCTCCTTTCCCTCCTCCTCCTCCTCGTCCTCGTCCTCCTCCTCCTCCTCCTCCTCCTCCTCCTCATCCTCCTCCTCCTCCTCCTCATCCCGATGGGGGACCGATGGCCCCACCCCGCCCAGGAACTTGCGGATTCGCCATCGGGGGCCTTCCAGAGGGGGTCCGAGCAGACGGTGTCGGAGTCTCGCGCCCAGCTCGATGTGGAGCCCGATTTTCCCCACGCCGACGTCACCGCTGCATCGCCGACGTCGCCAGTGCATCGCCAATGCATCGCCGATACATCTCCGATGCATCGCTGATGCAGCGCGATCCTCCGACCCCACTACTCCGACCCCATCAAGGAGGCCTCTGGATCGATGGCGAAATCCGACACCAGCGCCGATCAACGATTCAGACAACTTGATGGGCTTCGGGGGTAGGGTTCGGAATTCGTTGAGCACGTAGCCAAATCCGAACCCTACCCCCGCCTCCCATCGGTTCGAGAGAATCGATGGCTGGTGCGGGGCAGGGTTCAGATGTCGCCACTTGAAGGACCTGATCGACTGCCTGGTCGAGAGCTCCGCCACCACCGAGGGGGAGGCAAGAGTAATGATGTTCCAACCTAGTTTAGCCTTGACTGACAGAAAGAATTTCGAGCACCGAGGAGGTCCGAAACTGAAGGGCCCTGAAGGGCGACACCCCTGGGAAAGTCTTCACGTGTCGGGTCCTGGGAGGCGATGCTCGTTCGACACTTCGCCAGCGTATCGCGCAGACACTATTTCGTTACTGTCCTGGGGTCTCAACATTGTTTTTTTATGATGTCGTCCGTAAGTGCGGTAGGAACAACATGAGGCAAGAGCCATCGCGGCGAGCCTTAGCGGCGTGGACGGCCAGGAGTTGGTGTCCTACTCGGCGTTCTTGGCCGCGTGCCTCTCGGCCCAGATGACCTTCACGGAGGAGGACATGTTCGAGCTCTTCCGCCGGCTGGATAAAGACCAGGACGGCTTCGTCTCAACCGAGGACATCCGAGGAACCCCGCGCTCGATTCTCAAAGGAGGGCGAGTTGAGACAACGGTAATTTCAGGGACGAAAGAAGGACGTACACGTACATGAGTCGACGTTGGTTTCGAGAGTACGCACTGCGCGGACCTTCGTATCACGCGGCTGGTCTCGCGGGCTGCGGGGCCGTGTTCATGTACGTGGGTGGGCTCGTACGTCCTTTGTGGGCTCCCCAGCAGTTGGCCTCTGGGGGCCCCCTCGTCGCCACGCTGGACGCGGCTCCCCAGGGAGGGGTCCGGAGACCGATGTTGAGCTGCCGTTGTCTCGATGCGCCCTGCTCCGAGACTTCACCCGTCCAGGCGCTGATCTCACGGTAGGCTTCAGTCGCGTCGACATGGCGGCGACCTCAGCGAGGTTCGCTGAAGGTTGAAGGCCGCTTGCGGCTTGAATTCGTCCAATATTGCACGATCTCGATTGGAGCCGCGACGGTTCAGGGGGTTGAACGATTCACGCGGCATCAGAAGCCAACGCAAGGCGTCACAACACGAACCTGCCGTACCCCAGGGGGCCTCCCCATCGCCCTCCCCCTGAAGCATTCGGATCATCTCCCCCTCTGATGTTGCGAGCTGCTTTCCTGGGATACCCTCGGGTTTCTGGAAGAGGTCAGAGCTAGGAGACAGGACTCTCTGAGACCTTCTTCTTGTGGTCGCCGCACGGCTGCAGGAGCACCATGCAGAGGTAATGTGGCATTCTCGCCTATCTTGCCCCTTCTGCTCCTGCCCCTGCTGCCCGCAGCCCTCCTGGTAGGTGCGTGCGGCGTTGGCGCGCTGGCGACGCCGGCGATGGCGTTCAAGGTTGAGCTCTACGCTCTTGCGGCACCGGGGGCGCGCGGGAACACCGCATGGTGGAACGACGCGGAAGCACCGAGGGACACGGTGGCGCCACAGGACCCGACAGAATTCAACGTTGAGCGGTCGGGGCCGCGATCGATTCGAGGTTGAACAGTTGACGCGGTGTCAAAATTGTCACGCGCGCCGACGCCACACAAACCCACCGTATCTTACTACTGCTTATCATTGTTGCTGCTGCTGCGCCTGTTGCTCCTCCAGGGCACTTACGCGCGCTCGTTGGCCCCATCTGAGACCCTTGTGGAGCCATCTTCGGCGGAAAAGCTGGGAACCCGAAAGATCTCATTAAGCCTAGAGAAACCTCTCTGATTGTTGACCTATTTGAGCAGTCTGGGGGTCCTCTTGGGGTTCGATTGTGAGCAATTAGCGCCGTCGTGACATCATTTGGAAGCCTGTTGGGCCCCTTGGACCCCTCCTGCTGCTGCTCCCCCTCGGATGGACCTTGCGCCTGGACGAGCTGGTCGGGCTCGGGGCTGCTCGACATCGGGGCCGCGCTGGGCCACCTCGTCGACCTGGAGGCCCTTTCACTTTCTTCCGACATCTTCCCTGCTCACCCTATTCCTCCTCCTCCTCCTGCTCCTCCTGTTCCTCCTCCTGCTCCTCCTCCTGCTCCTCCTCCTCCTCCTGCTCCTCCTCCTCCTCCTCCTCCTTCTCCTGCTCCTCCTCCTCCTCCTCCTCCTCACAAGTGCCCCGCCTTGCCTCCCTCCTCCGTCCTACTCCTTTCTCCCCCCCCCTCCCCCAACAAATTCCAGAACCCACAAGAACACCCAAACAACCCTAGACCCCCCGGCATAAATACGTCTTAAGGAGTATCCTCCCCCTTCCTCCCTCCTCCCTACTCCTCATGCCCGTTCTTCTCCGCGTCATCATCCCTCCGCCTTCTACTCTTCATCCTCATCCTTATCCTCCTCCTCCTCCTCCTCCTCCTCCTCTTCCTCCTCCTCCTAATCCTCATCATCATCCTTATCCTCCTCCTCATCCCCTTCCTTCCGCCGCCATCTTGGCTCAAGCTGGCCAGGCGGCCGTGCCCCTCCATGGATACCGCTGGTCTGCGCCTATCTTCCAGCCATTTGCACCGTACACCCCGTCGAGCTCGCCCGTGCCCTCGGCGTCTCTTCTATACCACCACGTATCCCTGCACATCCGCGGTGTCGGGGCGGGCTTCCCGCAGCCGTCCCTGCTCCTGGCGGCGCTCTGCGGTCCTGAGGTGGCTGCGCATCCGATGGCTGCTGCTAGCGGATGGCATGTTTCGGCATCAAGGGAAGAGCCATCCGGACCCGATCAGTGGCGTCTGCGGAACGGCCCTGGGCGTTGACTTCACAGCCCTGTCCTGTTCGATTCCTTCTGTGAGTGCGTCTGCTGAGCGGCTTCGCGCGTCGAGGTGATTCTTATCGGGGTGAATTTGATGCCTAGGAGGCCACGTGCGAACCCTACCCCTACCCCCAACGATTTCTGAGGGGGAGGGTGGGGTTCACTTCGCTCGAGAGCTCCCGAACGAAGTGAACCCCACCCTCCCCCTCAGAAATCGTGGGGGGTAGGGGTAGGGTTCGCACGTGGCCCCCTAATGCCCTCTACAGCAGATGCCCCAGAACCAGAAGCTGACGTGGACGGCGGCCTCATCGACGGACCACTCTCGGAACGGGCGGCAGGCTGCAGCCACTCGCACAGCGGAGGGGAGCAGCGGCGTCGTCGCAGAGTTCGGCGCCGGCAGGCCTACGAGCAACCACTCCGCCAACGTCCTGATCCCGCGAGTCGTCCACGTCGTGATGGCCACGCCTCAGTCATAATAGTCCGAGACATCAGCCTCATGAAGTGGAGGCTGTCGGGGGGGGGCTCGCTGGGCCGCCTCTGGGCGCTCCGGGGCCGCCTCGGAGGTCTCGAGGGCGGTCCTGGGACCCTCCTGGGGCTATCTTGGGGCGCTCGTGTGGCCATCTTGGGGCCCTCGTTGGCTCCGCTTGGGGCTCTCAGTGGGGCATTCGGGGGCCATGCGGAGGCCACATGGGCCCATCGGAAGCGGGAAGGCACAACCAGATATTTCTCTTGCGGTGTTTGACAGATGTTCGCCTTTCGGGGGCATCGTTGAGAGGCTGCGTGCCACTTGGAGCCACCTTGGAGCGCTCTTGAGGCCTGTTGGAAACACCTCGGCAGCGTGGTTGAGCCATGTTGGGCAACCTTGTGTCGTCTTGGAGCCATCTTGGGTGTTGGGGCCGTCTGGGCCTGTCTTAGGGGGCATATTGGTGCAAGCATGGCATCCCAACACAAGTTCCATGTTGAGCAGGTGGGAGTACGCGGGCTGTCCAGTCCCAGAAAAATAGTTCGCTAATCAGGTGGCAGGCAAGTCAGGCAGTTACCTTCCAATTCTCCTGCACGACACAGGGCACGCAGGGGAGCCGCTGTATTCTTGGCGCGTCGCGCATCCCCGCCAGCAATTACAGGCACGATGGCCAGGTGAGTTGTCTTGACCAGGTGTGTGTAGGAGCGAGCAGTGGAACAACGTTGGGGGGCAGTCGTCGAATTCAAGCTCGGGTCAGCCTGAGCAGACCCCGGAGTCAACCAGATACGCTTTCTTGGATCGTTCGATATGGGAGCCCCGTTGGCAGATTGTGTGGGCCATTCTGGGGCCCTACTGAGGACGTTGGATGCCCTCTTGAGGCCATGTTGGAGGCCCTCGATAGCAGAATGTGCCGTTCTCTCTCTCTCTCTCTCTCTTTCTCTCTCTCTCTTTCTCTCTCTCTCTTTCTCTCTCTCGGGGCCGATTTGGAGCCCTCGCGTGCCCCTCCTGCGGTTGGCTTAGGCGATAGTGGAAGGAACCATCCTGCGGCTTCAGAAGCCCATCGGAGGTTGATGGGCGAGAAGGCTAAACTGTCTTTTCCTTACGGTGGTCGAGGGACGTGGACCTCTCGGGCATCTTTAGGATGCTCCGCTGCAACGTTGGAGCCGTCTCAGAGCGGCCACGGGGCATCTAGGAGGCACGGTGGAGGCACGGTGTGAGCCAGGATGACGATGCGACGTTAGAGGACATGTTGGGGCATCTGGAGCCATAGTGGTGGCATGTCGAGTCAAACGCCTTCCACGGATGCCCCCGATACGCAATCTTCCATCAACCAACAGTTTGTTGGTTGCTCCATGGTGTTGGCTGTGAGCGCAGGGGACGGCGCCGAGTAACGTCCCCCCCCCCTCGGAGCTTCAAAGGTCGTCTCCGGGGGCCCAAGTGGGGCGCTTTGGGGGCCCGCCCCGAAGAAGTATTCAGCCCCCTCTGGGGCTCGATGGGTCCACATTGAACCGATCTTGCGACCTTAAAAGCCCATCGGAAACGCAGAGGCGAGAATGCAGAATACATCGATCTGCGTTCCGTATCTCCATGGTGGCGAACTTTCGGGGGCGCCCCTGGGAAGCTCCGTGGCCGCTTGGAGCCGTCTTGGGACGGCCATGGGGCATGTTGGAGGCATGTTGGAGGGTATCTCGAGCCACCGTGAACCATACAACGACCCGCGAATCCTAAGCCCTCCAGACCCAGAGGATGGGGCAGATGAAGAAGGGCGTTGGAAGAACAAACTCTTTAAACCACTCACGCCCTGAAGGGCTGGTTGGACGTCCCAGGAGTCGTGAGGATTTGTTTTGGAACGCTGCGGATCCCCAGCGGAATCGAAGTCATTTCTGGTTGGAACCCTGTGGATTGTTCTGTGGAGCCGAGTGGGATCATCAGCCGTCTTGATGATTCCCCCCAGAGATCGAAGAACATCACATAGAATCTCACAGGATTGTGGCAACCAAGAGAAATCTCCACAGAGTCTTGATGATGCCCTACCGGATCCCGAGGATTCCTCCACTGGGCATCCCACGGATTTTCAGTGGGATTATACAAGATATCACCGTGCGCATGTCCGTCTCCGCGCAGTACGGTCCCGACAAGTTCACAGACACGTTGTTTCCACGAATTTGTACATATTGGCCTGAAATTGTCCAATATTGCAGCCGTCCCGGCGATCGCGTGGAGGCGAGCAGCGTGGGGCTGCAGCCAATCCGGCTGACACGTGATTTCACGCGGCCCCCAGCACGCGTGCGAGAGACGGGCTTGCGCAGTGTGCATTGCTCACGTGCCTCTGGACACACGGCGATTTCCTTCTTGTTGTTGTGGCCTGTCTTTTGCGCATTAGAGATTTGATTGTTGTTCGTGATTTGTTATTATGAGTAGTCGTAAGATTAGTATGGTTGCTAGCATTATCATTCGCATTCCCATGATCAGTATTAACATGATCAGTAGTATTTTCTTGTTGGTATATGTATGATTGACATGATAATTATTATTAGCTTTGATTATTCACATCATCCGTACCATTAGCAGCGTTAGTATCATTGTTAGTATGAGCTTCGCGTTACCAGCATTGGTAATATTATTCGCATTATTCGCCTTCTTCTCCTGAGTGAACAATTCGCGGCGGATTCTGCACCCGAGTGCACCGACCGCCACCTATCGCGGCGCCCGACCCCCGCCGCTGCGACGCCGCTTCCCCGCGCGAGGCCCGCGTCCGCGCGCGAGTGTCCAGTTGCGGAGCGAACCCCCCCCCATACGCAACCCCCAGCCGCGGAGCGAGGCTCCCGCGGATACGACGCATGACGCCTCCCCCTTTTGGAGGGCACCGTGGGGGTGGAGGCGAGGAAGGATCGACACACCCACCGATGCGCAAAGCCTAGTCACGGAACGAGACCCTCGCGGCTGCGACGCATGACGTCTCCCCGCTGTGGAGAGCGCCTTGTCGGGGGTAGAGGCGAGGAAGGAAGCTCCCCATCGGGCGCACTCGAGACAGGTGTTGGGGGGACTGGGACCCAGGCCGCGCAAGCCCGCACTGGAGCACCGCCCACCTGCCCCCGCAATCCTGAGAATTGGGTTGGATGCGTGCGCGCGTTCTCTGGCAATCCACCTCCCCAATCCTCCCCCTCCCTCCTCCCCCCTTCTCTGCAACTACACAATGTGAATACTACTCTCCTCTCTTCCTTGGTGGCGTCCAGGGAATGTCAGGCCCCCCTCCGCGCACTGGTTTTTCACAGGACTCCCGGGAGTAGGGCTTTCGCTTGGGCTTCTTCCTCTCGCTGAAGCGCTGGCTTCATTTTCGGGCTACTGCTCGTTCCAAATCGTGCTCCCGCTGCAGCGCTGGCCTCATTTCCGCGCTTCCGCTCGTTCTGGAGCGTGCTCCCGCTGCAGCGTTGGCGTCAGTATTTCCAGCGTCAAGCCACGGCATGGTTTTCGGTCCTTGCAAATAGGCCCCAAATCTAGAGAATTGCTTCCCGAAGAAACCATCGGAAGTGATTCCGCATTCGGTGTCGATTCGTTGATGTTTGGGGCCGCGGAAGCCCAGGAGTCCCAACGCCATGCAATGTCAGGCTACGCGTCCTCATTTCCGCGCTTCCGCGCAGATTTTTTTCAAAATGTTGCTCTCGTTGAAGCACTGGCCTCATTTTTGGGCTGCCGCTCGTTCCAAATCGTGCTCCCGCTGCAGCGCTGGCCTCATTTCCGCGCTTCCGCTCGTTCCGGATCGCGCTCCCGCTGCAGCGTTGGCGTCATTATTTCCAGCGCCATGCCGCGGCATGGTTTTCGGTCCTTGCAAGTAGGCCCCAAAATCTAGAAAATTGCTTCCCGAAGAAACCATCGGAAGTGATTCCACATTCGGTGTCGATTCGTTGATTTTCTGGGCCGCGGAAGCCCAGGCGTCCCAACGCCATGCTATGTCAGGCTACGCGTCCTCATTTCCGCGTTTCCGCGTTGTTTTTTCCAAATGTTGCTCTCGCTTGAGGACTGGCCTCATTTTCGGGCTGCCGCTCATTCCGAATCGTGCTCCCGTTGCAGCGCTGGCCTCATTTCCGCGCTTCCGCTCGTTCCGAAACGTGCTCCCGCTGCAGCGTTGGCGTCATGATTTCCAGCGCCATGCCGCGGCATGGTTTTCGGTCCTTCCAATTAGGCCCCAAAATCTAGAAAATGGACCCCCGAATAAAATGATCGGAAGTGATTCCACATTCGGTGTCGATTCGTTGATCTTTTGGGCCGCAGACGACCCCCCCCACCTTGGGGCGTCGCCACGCCATGCTATGTCAGGCTACGCGTCCTCATTTCCGCGCGTCCGCGCAGGTTTTTTGTTCAAAATGCTGCTCTCGCTGAAGCGCTGGCCTCATGTTCGGGCGACCGCTCGTTCCGAATCGTGCTCCCGCTGCAGCGCTGGCCTCATTTCCGCGCTTCCGCTGGTTCCGGATCGCGCTCCCGCTGCAGCGTTGGCGTCATTATTTCCAGCGCCATGCCGCGGCATGGTTTTCGGTCCTTGCAAATAGGCCCCAAAATCTAGAAAATTGCTTCCCGAAGAAACCATCGGAAGTGATTCCACATTCGGTGTCGATTCGTTGATTTTTGGGCCCCCCCACTTGGGGCGTCGTCACGTCATACTATTTCATGCTACGCCTTGATCCTCCACACCGTGCTATGCCATGTAATGCTGTGCCATGCTACGACATCCGATTGTGCGCATGGAGAGGAGATCTACGCCATTGTAAGGGATGGGAGGGAGGGGTAGGACGTCACATATGACGCGAGCGCACCCAGCTTGTTTTACGCCC